AGCCTTTATTTTGCTAAGCTAAACAAGCCAAGCTCTTCATTCTGTTTTCTCATATGATAGGTTCTCTATTCCCCTGATCATCCTAGAAGTCCATCTTTGTACCTGAACAAGTCTGAGGTAACGTGCTACAAATGACAAAGTACAACAGTCTTGTATAATAGCATAATAAAAGGAACTATAGCAAACAGAGTAATAATTTCAGGCTTGCAAGAATGTGCTGTGCCAAATATTTGGGAGGTTGAGTAAAGGTTTTGAAATCTTCTAAGGGGATTTTTATTAGAAATAATGGGATTTTTTTCTAAGTTGTTCTTTGAAATTGCAGATTTTCGGGCTTTAATTAACAGCTGAGAAATCAGTGAAAATTATTATTTGGTTGAGACCTTTAGACAGCATAGTATGTAGCTGATTAGATTTGTGACAGTAATCACTGAAGAAATGGGCCTAGCATTTTGAAAGTTTGGTTGACAATAAGCACTGAGAAAATTCCTATGAGCACTGCATAGTATGTGATGAATCTTTCCTGGAGAAGCCACAATTGCATTCACATGTTGTCTTTAAGAAATTTCAGTGTCAGAGTTCAGGGGGTTGGTTCCCTGGAGTTAGCTCTACAGAGTGCTCCCATCAGTGAGAGCCATTGGACAGCAGAAGAGAATGTGGGGACAACTGATCCCACCACCTCCCAGAACCACAGAGGAAAGGATGTTTGGTCAAATCCAGTATCCCCTAGTCTCTTGTGCCATAGCTTCTTAGAAAACATCAGGAAACTCCTGACTCCCAGCTTTAAGACTGTGACAGTAATGGTTTTTGGCTGTTTTATTTTTAATCCTTACTGAGTTGGTAGTTTAATCAAGATCCAAGGGGAGCTTCATACAGAAACTTTTTCCGAGTCATGCTGGGCCTGCCATCCTAGTGCTTAGGGCCATGGTCACTGGAGTGTAGGATGACTCTGTTAGTGTGGAGGAGAGACATTGTAGGAGTTTGGGGGAGCATTTGTTTTTCTACAATCCTTCTTTTCTCAGGAATAAACACACTGATTTATTTTTTAACTTTTTTTTTTTTCTGTCCTGTAGGATAAGGAAAAAAAGAGCTTTTGTTATACACTGTAGGAAAAGAGAAGCACAAATTTATGTTGATACATGCACATATGAAGATCAATGAAGATGAAAAGCTTGTAAATTACAAATAATTTCTTAAGTAAGAGCAAAGGGGAATCCCAACTGTGATTACAAGCAATTAAATACATAATTAAGGAAATTCATATCAGGGCACTGCATGTGTGGTTGCTCCCTGGGGGCTGGAGTAGGGGAAATCCCCGTGGGGACTAGAGGGCTGGGGGCAGACCCAGCCCTTGGCATCCGGCACTTCTCTGCAGATGGGGATGGGCTGAGGCTGGAATGGGCTGTGGACCCACAAGTGGGCCCAGCTCAGTGGGGCCTGTGGCCAGGCAGAGCACGACTTTGGGGGACTGGAGACTGGCCCTTCTGTGGCAATGCTGAGGCAGGGGCTGATGACACAAGGGGGTTTGACATGGGGTCCTGGGCCCTCAGGGACCTGACAGTGAATCAAATGGAACTGTAGTCCTAATGAGTATTTCTGATGATAATAGTCATCATCAAATAGTTGATTTGATAGTGGAAGCCATCACACCCCACCTGCCCCCATGGTGACCTGTGGGCCATGGGAAGTAGATGCCCCTTCCTGCATCCTAAAACCTTCTCCAGTGATGCTGGTGGGGCATAGGGTGCTTGCCAAAATCAGCTTCATTATGTGTCCTATTCTGACTATCAGTGCACAGCCAGATCTTCACAGTGCCTCACAAGACTGTCTGTCCAGAAGGACCTGCCCTTCGTTGTATCATCCCATAGGACAGCTAGGGCTTGGAGCTTCAAGGGAGTGAAAAGCAGCTTCAAAAGCTCTTTGCTTTCCCTGGCTGTTCCTTTGAGGATCCTGGGATCTGTGGCTTGTAGATCTATGGGAAGATGGGGACTTTCATCAAAGCTGTCGTTAGGGTATCTTGGCCAACCTGCCAAAGAAAGCTTAGCTTGCTTTCTGTTAATTTTGGTTCCCTGATCTGTGGTGCACTGGGGGAAAGGGGGAATGCGTATGCGAACAAGGAAAGCTGAGAGACATTCTCCAAAACAAATCTACAGAGAATCAATAGCTTCATAATACTGCACTAAGAGTAACAAACAAATATTATTCTACTCTCAGCATGGAAAAAACAGCCCAAGAGGCACCCTGCTGTGCAAAGAGCTGTGATGTTATTGTAGCCCTGTTAGGTTAAAGATGATAGTGAGGCAAAGTCTGCGAGCGAAGCTGCTTCTTTCATGAGCCTAACAGGTGGTTAGGAGCAGTTTTGATGTACCTGTGTGATGACTGTGAATGAAACACCAGCTTTTTTCAAGTTAGTGGCAAAATCTCATGGGCTTTTCAGTACAACACAATGTTGTATAATGGGGAGTATTTTAATTAAATACAGTGATATTCCTGACTGTTTCTTTTGCTCACCATATTTACTGTGGCATCACTAGTTAAAACGGAGAATAAGACATGTATAGACATAAATATTATCTCAAGATATTTTAAAGTTTAATGAAGAAAATGTTTTCCAGAGTAGTGTGAAACACCTAATGTATCCTGCCACTTGGTAAAAAAACCATCAGAGGATCTAAATTACTCAAGTCCTAACTGTGTTCCAGGATGTCTCCTCTTGGGAAGATTTAGGTGTGGTTACTACACTTGTAAGATGACTTTAAAACAATATACAGTGGAGGGAAAGTACTCTTAGGGGCCTATTTTTAAACCATGTCTTCTGTGAACAAGGTTTCTTCAAATCACGAACACCACCACACTTTTTGCATTGAGTACATAAGATTTTAATCTCATTTAGTCTGACGAAAATTCAGAGTAACTTCTTTAAACTCAGAAGAGTCAAGACAAATGAGGTCAGAATTTGACCCATTAAGACTTGGTCTACCCTTTCTGTAATCTTAAATAATTAGTTTGAGCTGACTGACAGAAAACTGTTCTTTGTTTCTTGTACTCTGTTAACTGCACAGAAAATGAAGCTCTTCATTGCAAAAACATGGTTCACTTTCTTTTATTATCTTTAGATAGTTACATATTAACTTTTAAAGAGGATAGTCTTGATCCTTCCTCCATTCAAATTAATGAGAAAACTCTCACTGACTTTTTTGAAGGACAAACTTTTTGTAGGGCAAAGAATTAATTTTTGTAAATCCCATGTGCCTCATACAAATTATCTCCACTTTGCTTCTTGTAAACTGTCATGCCAGATGTGATTCAGAGCCTGTGGGTATAACAGTATGATAACGTGATTTCTTTCACTTCTAGGAAATGCTTTCTACTATTAATAAATAAATAAATAGATGGTTAATTGCTTGATTTTCTCCTAGAACTAGCTCTTCAAGACTAACATTTCCTAAACAATTTTTCAAGAAAATTAAAGTATTTATCAAAATAATAATATTTTTTTCCATAAAGTCAAGTTTTACTTAATGTGTTTGCATCAACTTAACTGTGATTACAGCTGGTTAAGATTTCATTATTGAATCTACCCTTGTGTTGTTCATAATCCAATAAATCTCATTCTTTCAATTCAGAGCAAGGACAAAAAAAACCCCTTCAAATACCAAGTTGGTATTTACTATTTTGTAAGGATTCACATACAGTTTGTTAAGAAATAATGGGGAAATATGCCATACACTGTTCTAACTGCTATTAACTTATGACACTGTAGTAGTCCTGCTTTATTCCTTAAATGGTAATGTCCTTAATATGACTTCAATGTTATTAGGTGAACTATATAAATTATTTACAGTCAGCCTGTAGATTTGAACAAAATTGTTACCGTTTTCTTTAAGAACACCATGTTCTTCCTGACCAGACCTTCTGTCAAAGGAAAGACTTCCATGGTCTCAGAACCCCTTCAGAAGCTCTCTGGCACCACCAGTCCTGCCAGTGAGCCTGCCTGGGCACATCACTGCTCAGATCCCTTGGCTCTGATCTTTCCATGCTCGTGGTCTCTGAAGTGGGCTTGGCCTACCAAACTTTGCTTCTACCATAACTGTGCTACACAGTTGGGAAGGTCAGGGCAGAATTCAGAGAATCCACAAGGTGTATTCAAATTCTGTTTGTTTATGCAAACTAATCAAATGCATGAATGAGGTTTTATCAACATGAGACCTTGCCTCCCTCCGGTGTTATGACTCTGTTCCTCATATGCCTGCAACATCCCGTGCTTTCCGGCAGAAATGCTCCCAGTTCCCTACATGTCTCCTGTACCTCCATGGTATTTGGAGTTGCCACCATATCCCCTGCCTTCCTTTGCTTTGTGAGCTGTGAAAGAAACTGGTCTGTAGCTCTTGCTGTGCTGTGGATTGCCCACCTTGGCCAGCCAAGGGAATCGTGCATTCTCACTGAGCAGCTAGAAGTCTGTAGGCTGTGTGCAGTGTCACTGATATACGGGCCAAGCTCAACGTGTTACTTCTCTGCTGTTGTTTTGTCATTTCATTGCATTGCATTGAACGTATTCTGCAGAACTAGTCTATGCAAGGAGGAACCCAGCACATTACCTATCCTTGTTTTTCCCTCCCTCATTACGGCTGCTTTTTTCGGAATGGTGGGGCTTACTTGGTGTTGATTGCTAAATTAAAGCGGAAAGCTGCAACTTGCAGTGCCAGTTCTTAGGAGGCAGCAGGAGTGTGAGATTTTGCTACCTGGGTTGGTTTACTGTATCATACCTGCAAACAGGTCACCTAATGTATTCTGAATTGTTCAGAGTTGTTGTGCTTTCTCGTGGCTTTAATGGATAAAGCCAATAGGAATCTCTAAATTAAAAAATACATGTATTTTCAAGACAATTTGTCTGGGAGTCTGTGTTTTCTAGCTGGCCTGCTGGCTGGCAGGCAAAACAACCAGAACATGCTGCTTCTTGCTTTGTCCTTGCGTGCAGCCCCTGAGCCTTATCTTTTCTCTAGGGAGCAGCAGGGACCCCAGTCAGCCTCAGGTGGGAGCAGCAGAGCAATGGCACAGGGATACCTCCATCCTCGACTCCCTCCTTCCCCCTCTGGACCTAGATTGTAGTGAAGCCCCTGCTCTGGAAGCATCCCTCGGCACAGGTATTACTCCACCCCACGGGCTCTCTGGCTGACACGCAGGAGCTCCCAGGTGGAGCCACGCTCCTACATTAATAACATTCAGGAGATGCTGTTACAATAGCATGGCTGAAAGCAACACTTGAGCTTCCTGCAGATGTCAGCTCCAGGAGGTCACCAGAAAGACCTATGTCATCTCTTGTCTTTCAGAGGCTCATCTGAATTGCAGATCTGTCAAAGCCCTCAGGGTCTGTTGAGGATTACCAAGGACATCCTGAATGTATATTATTTTCTCTGAAATTTTTTAGCATAATGAGTTCATTATAAGCATCCTGAGTTAATAAGTTAGTGTAATAGGGAACTTCTATGACCATACTGGGTGTCTCACGATATTCTTCTGGGATTTTGTCTGTCTTTTAAAAGCCCCATTGCCAGTATCACATTGGTTATACGGTAATCTTTATTTCCAGTTTTAAAATGCCTCACAGTGCTGGAACATACTCTGAAATTGTGAACCCAGCTCAAGAACTGGAAGGCAATTAATAACTGATTTTATAAAAAATTCACAACTTTAAGCCTAGTATCATATCATGTTTTTAAATGTCTGACTCATTTGGAAATCTTAGGATTGTCTGTATTAATTATGGCCCCAGAAGATCTCTCTCAACAGTCAGAAAATAACTCCATTTGTAGTCAAGGATTGCAAACACAATCTTCCTGGAACTGAAAGTTGTACATTGTGCAATTTTTATGGCTTGTATTGCTTTTCTATTTTTAGTTGCTTGAAACCTGCAATACATCATATAATCCTCCTTAAATTGTCATTCATAATACTAATTTCCATTAACTTGGCATAAATAAGTTACTTTCTTTCTTAAATTTGTATAGTTACTATTTCGCTTAACAATGTTACACAAGCAAATTTTTATTTTTACTGATACAAAGTTGATGTGAATGATAATAATGTGTTTCTAATTATGGAATTTTTAAACCAAATTAGAAAAAAAAAAAACAAAACAAAACAGCAAAACACCAAACCAACAAAACAATCCCACAGTATTTTCTTTTTATTTAAAAATATGTGTGTGTTATGAAGTCAAATAACTGTTCCATTACTTCGACAAACCATTTATTTAATCCTCCCCCTTTATAGGAATTTGGAAAAGTTTCTCTGAGGTTTGAGAAAGCCTAATAAAATTACACTTTTCAGCTTTTTTTGAAGATACAGTGGGAAGAACAATTCTGTGGTTTTTCCTTTCTAGAAATGCATCTTCAAGGTATAAGAGATCGAGCCAGTGACAAGTATTTATACAGAGCTCTCCAGCCTGTTCTTGCTTACATAAGTAGAGATAATGTCATGTATTTGGCTACCTGCAGAAATTGTTTGTGCAACATTCTTTCATACCCTGGCTGAGCAGAGGGCAGGAGAGCTAAGCCTGCCGCTGGCACACTAGTTCATGATATCTGTGCCATAATGCTAAATGCTGGGGTGTTTTTTTATTTATGTTGTTTGTTTGGCATGCAGTTGATGTTGTACAGGATGAATTTAAAAGATATAGTAGGATATCAGATTTTGGATTTAACTTTTATTAAATGAGTTACAGAATTTAATATGGAGGCAAATAGGTTTTTTGGGTTTTGACTGAGTTTAATAATTTCTCTAAGATGATGATATTCAAATCCTAAAGCACCGTGCTGATAAAATATGAAAGTGTAACTGAATAGAAATGAACATGAACTGATGAATTGGTTTCCTAGCTGATAAATATTATAATAATAAAAAAGTATGTATTCCACAAATTACATTTAACTTAGCAGAGTCTTTCAGGTTTAAAGATATAAAAACCTCTTAATAATTCAGTAAGGAAATATTTATTCAACATGAGCACTTTGTCACGGCTTTTCTGAAAGCCTTGTGAAGTATTCTCAGTAAATATACAGTGGAGGTTCAGCTGGTTAGTCTGAGCTTGCTTTTTCTGGGCAGCTGTGATTACCAGTCAGCTACTGGGTGCTCTGGAGAGCTGCCCTGTAGATGTAGATGTAGTGAGGTTTATTTGCACTGGGAGTAAAACAGAACATGAAATGTGAAATAAGCAAGTGAGAATACGTTCTGTTACGTTTTGTTTCTTAAGATAACTAAATATAGCAACTTCATATGACAAGAGGTGACTTTGCATCCTCACAGGAGGAAAACTGGTTAATCATCCTTTTCCTAGACCCCTGGTGAGAAGCTAAAAGTCAATAACAATACCATTTTGAACAATTCAGAGGCAGGAAGAAAGACTAGGCTTTTGACCATAATTAGCATCTATACCTAAAAAAGCAGCTGCCTGGACAGTGCAGGCTCTAGCTCACTCCCTCTGGGGCCAAGACATGATGGAGCTGCCAACAGCGACCGCAGCGGGTCCTTGCCAAGGCCATGGGTCCACCACACATGCACAGGAGAAGCAGCTCAAAGTAATTTCTCAGTCACCTAAACTTTCTTGAAGGCAGCTGGAAAATATTTAAGTAAACAAATAGTGATGCTGAGACATTACATAACTGCTGGGTTAGACAGTTTTTCACTAAATAAAGAGAAACAGTCATTCAGACTATTTATATGCTGGTCTCTTACCTGATTTCTTACCTGATTTACCAATCATATGCTATCTGTATATGCCTCCCCCACCTTTATTTTTTGATGATGATCAAACATTTTGGCATTATTGTGAAAAGTCAAATCAGTCTTTTAAATTCATATCAAGAGACCGAGTGATGCCTTAATATTTAGAGGCACCGACCAATTCCCTTCAGCAATAATGAGACCCACATTGCTTTTCTGTCATCCACCTCCTCATAGGAAATAAGAACTTGAAAATGTTATGATTTTTTTTTTTCAGATTTACCTTAATTATTAAACATTAATCTCTAGTTTTACTTGTTCTACCTGAAAGATAATATAGATCAATTGTTTATTGCTGTTTCTTAAATTACTTGCTTTGGGCAATAATAGCCAAATTCCCCCACTTTTCCACCCAGGAAAGAAAGTTCAGCACAAGGAGTTGTGGCTAGAGAGTCAAATGAGCTCATTTCCCAGTTAGGTAGCTCAGTAAGGGTGAGCTTTTGACTCTTTTCAGTACTTTTTAGAAATATTGGGTTCTCTGCTCCTCTTGGCTAGAAATGTACCTGCAGCAATGCAGCAGGTCTATGTACCCTGTAGAAAATCTATTTCGACTGCACAAGCCTCTCGAATTTGTGACTTCATTAACACAGAGTTGGCAGAGTTGGTTATAGCAGGGACTGAGGGGTGGACACAGTCTCACAGCCTCTGTCATATCCTAACCTTTGCCACCAAGCCTGGCACTGTGGCAGATGCTGGTAACAAGGTGCCAAATACCTGTTATTGCCTCCCCACCCAACAGCAAAATTGGCCTTTTTGATGATGTATTTATGGATCCAGTGCCAGTTTATCAATCAGCTTACTGATGTGCCCAAATTAGGAGCACAACCCCTTTAGAGAGGTCAGTAGTAACTCAGGGGGGCAAAACTGGAACCCCAGGGGCGGGATGCAGTGGTGTCCTCCAGCCATGTCCTCTCACAGGGAGGCTGGAGCAACATCACTGTCTGCCCAGCACCTTTTTCCAGGGAAAGAAAATCAGGATATGCTTTCCCTGATACAGTGGAGCCATGGTGGGCTTCAGCAGTGGTCACTGGAGCTGACTGAAGATGAGGACAGGCCTGAAGTCTTAACACAGTCTCAGAGAGCTTGGGCTCCATTTCAAAGACACTGCAGATTATGGATGAAACCTAGCTCACTCACACAAGTGAGATACTTAAAGCTGAACAGTGTGAATTTGTGCCAGTGCAGATGATTTTATCTTCATGTAGGCTTGTAAAACACCCACTCTATTTGGAGGAGCTCTTTTTAATATCTTTCCATGGCTCTGAACTGAAATGACTTTCTAAGAAAAGCAGCTAATAATGTTTTACTCTATCCTAGTGGAAAAAAAAAAAAAAAAAAAAAAATGTTTTTTTTTTAAAGTTAAATAAGGTAGGGTGTTTGGCTAGTTGCAACAAGACAAACACAATTCACTTAGATTTTATCCCTGTTGAAGCTGGATTTTAAGAAGTCACAGACATTAAAGTAACTTGAATCTGGCAGCAAGTATTTTTAGTTATGTTCATGTGAGACCAAGCCCATGCAGATATATTTATTTGCTTCTTCTTTCTCTCTTCCTTCCCTGCTCAAAGAAGCTATGCTGTGTTTTCATCTTAGCCTGCCTTTTTGCTCTGAACTAAAAAGGCAGGTGAAGATTTGAGCAGATTAACATTGACAGGCTGTTCAAAAAAACATCAAAACCAGCTCAATTTGTAGATGCAGGATAACTCTTGAACTTCATTCTTTTCAAGTGATGAAATTGTCTAGGGATTTTGAAACCAAGACTTTAGAGGAGGAACATAAATATGGTTTCTATAAATGAAAGCTATTAAAGTGGATGAGGCTATTTTCAATGCCCAGGTGAGGTATCTGCAGGTTTTTGTGCTGCTCCCTGTCAGCGTGAGGCATTGCTATTATTTAAATCAGTTAGGCTGACATTTACTTCTTTACTTTCTTTGCCACAAGTTCTGAAGTCAGTGGAAAGCCTGAAGGATTACTGGGAAATAATGACAGTCACTGGGCTGGCACTGCCAGGAATGAAGTAAGACTCTCCTTTCCGTTCACCTCTTTACAAATAGTAATGACAAGTGAAGGCTGGGGCTTTGAATACTGCAAGGGCTACTCTGGAGCCTCTCAGTGCTAGTCCTCTTATCAGTGACATGAAGCAGAAGAGCTCAGTTTGTGCCACTGATCCCAGCAAAAGCCAAGAGAAGCTTGGTATGAAAAGTGGGTGTTGTGCAGTCTCTCTTTGCTTCAGCTGCCCTGTCTTTTTCTGACCCCTGATGAACTGATTTGCCTCCAGACCATCCTTCAGTAGCAACTTAATATGCCTCTAGAATAAGTAATATACTTCTGTGTGCCTTGACCTAACTTGAAAAAATATGAA